GGGCAGCCCTGGGCCGCGCGTGTCGCCCGGGGTGGGGCCCCCTCGGCGGGAGCGACGGGGAAAGCGGTGTCGAGGCGCCCACGGGGCCAGGGGTAGCTGCCGGGCCCGGGCGGTGACGGGGCTGGACCTGGTTCAACAAGCTTGTGCAGTGAAAGAGCCTGACCCTTTCCGTTCATACAGGAAATCTTGAGTTCTCGATAGGAGTAAATCTGGTTTCAGAAGCTGTTAAGTGTTTTCCTGGCTGCATGAAGCAGACCCTTCCCCCGGAGTAGTGCGCGCTGCTGATTATTTTATCGACATCCTCAATACAGACAAATTCAGGAAACACTCGACTTCTGATAGCCGGGATCCGTTTTTCTGATATTGTTCATTTCCTCTGTGTGGGATGTGACTTTATGGCAGCTAAAATAACCAGTTGCTTCCTTTTTTTTTTTTTTTTTGAAGCTGTTTTGCACTAGTCTTAAGCCTGACGCAAGCAAAATCTCGAAAAAATAATGCCCATCTTTCAAAGCGTTTAGGCAGAGGCCTGCAGACGCACGGACGGACGGACAGACAGACACCTCTTTGGAGTAGGAAGCTGCAGACCCCGGGCGCCAGTCAGGAAGAGCAGCGCGGACACCGTGGGCATATAGAATTTTGCGGGGCTTGTCCCCTCAGGGCGCGCCCTAAGAAAGAAGTCACCCGTGGTGCGCGCCCTGGGTGGCCGTTGGCGCTCAGGGTCCGAAACCGTCGGGTAAATACGGCCTCGCCCCAGGCCACCAGGGTTTTAAGTCAAGTCTGTTATTGGCAGCATCAGTAGGGACCCTGCAGACAATTAACATTTTAATTAATCAACAGTTTAAGGTCATTGTTATTACAGCGCGGCCTCTACCTCAATTCTCCACCTTCCCGTCTCATCTTTACAGACGTGGGGGTGGTGGTGGAATATTTTAGTTCTTCCTATTTATTTATTTATTTACTTACTTACTTACTTATTTATTTTTTTACAAAAGAGCTGTATTGTATTTTTGATGCCAGCCTCGAGCTTTGGTGCGGCAGCGCCGTCATGGCCCCGTTGGCCTGTTGGGGCCGGAGTGGGACCCTCAGCCGGGCCGGGCCTGGGGGCGAACGTTTTCACAGAGCGCGCCCTGGGTTTCCTTGGGTTACTGCTGGGACCGCGCAGGAGGAAGCAAAGGGTTTTTCGAGCTAGACCAACAGGAAACACATTGACGGAAATGTTGCCATAGCCCACGGGGTGGCTTTAACTGGCCGCCCCCGCGAGCCGGGTGTGAAATCAGAGGAGGCCGCGCCGCCCTCGGGTCGGGATTGGAGGCTCCTCGCGCGGCCTAAGGCGGGCGTCCAGGCCGAGCGCTTCTGCAGGAGCCAGGCCTTGGGTGGTGTAACAGCCCCGCTGCTCCCCTGCACGCACACACCCGGGCATATGCAAAGTGCGATTCACCAAGAGAGGGAAAAAAGCACCCAGGTTCACCAAGGGGTGCAAAACGTTGTGCATAAATTTGAGAGAGACTAGTGAAAAAGGGTCATGGTATTTCAAGCCCAACCTGTCGTGATCATTCTTTGGGGGATGAAAAAACTTGTGTGTTTGTATCTAGTTATAGGTGTGATGATGGTTGTGAGTGTTTGAGTGTACAAGGGTGGTCTGTGTGTTCATATACGGTGTAAGTCTGTGACTTTGGGTGTTTGTGTCCCTGGCTGTGTATTTGTGCAGCGTGTTGGGCCCATGTGCAGGTGGGTGTATGTGAACGCGTCTGGTTGGATGGCCGCCTGCGTCCCCTCCACCCTTTTGTTACCTCCCGGGCCCAGGCCGCTCCAGGGCCATCGCTAACCACCGCTTTCCTGCCCACAGGTAAGCCCCTGCTCTGGAGCCCCTTCTTGCAGAGGCCGCTGCATAAAAGGAAAGGCGGCCAGGTGAGGTTCTCCAATGACCAGACCATTGAGCTGGAGAAGAAGTTCGAGACCCAGAAATACCTCTCCCCGCCCGAAAGGAAGCGACTGGCCAAGATGCTGCAGCTTAGTGAGAGACAGGTGAGCGGGCCGGGGGCGGCCCCCGGGGGAAGGCTTCTGGGGTGGGGGTCGCCGGGCCGAAGACAGACGTGGAGCCCTGGTGCGCTCTGGCGGGCCCTGACGCACCGTCCAAACCCTGGAGGGCTGGTCCGCTCCACAGCCCCAGGTCTGCTTCTGAGCCTCTCCTCAGATCCCTTGGGATTCCGGGCTAGTGGCAAGTTTTCTTCCTCTCTTTCCTGTAGGTCAAAACCTGGTTTCAGAATCGACGCGCTAAATGGAGAAGACTAAAGCAGGTATCGACAGGGTTCTGTTTCTATGGAAATAAATATTTTTATCATGTTATCTCAATGCAAGGCCTGTTATGGGTTGTATGCAAAAGTCATTTGAAAGACTATTTAACCTCTTCACCTTGATTAAAAAGACAAATAGTCTTGCTGAAATTCAGGATGAGTTGCTCAGGTGGCAGTAATGCTAAAAGCACCTAATGCAGTTCCTATATCAATTATGCTTAGCTTTTCACACACTGGCTAGTAAAACTCCTGGCTAATTGTTTTATAAACCCCATATGTTGTTTATCTAATTAACGCCGGAAAGATAAAGTAATTGACAGTAAATGACTTAAGCAGTTATCTTTGGGAGAAAATTGTTTCTTTTATTTACACAGCCATAATAAAACCAGGCAGAACTCAAGGGTAAATACAAGGAAACAAACACCTTTAAGTTTTGTTTGCACTGTTTTTTAGAAGAATTAAATATCAAAGAGTTTAAAAATTATTTTCTATCTAATGCCAGCTCATAAAATGAATATAAAACATGTAAGAAAATATCCAAGCTTATTTGGAAAGTAGTTTAAATTTTCCAACAGTCTTTCTTCCAATGACCTTGTTACGCAATATGTGATAAAAAGTAAAGGCTAATTCAGTTTTTAAAGAAGCTCTGTTGACTTAAAGCTAAAGATTTGTTTTTGATGTCCTAATCTGGATGTGTTCTCCAAAGTTGTCTGACAATTGCTGAATTGCTCATTTGCCAATGTTTGTAATAAAATATGTTGAAACAATAATGCGAGTGAGGAAATTTAAAGCAATGTGGATTTTTAAATTTATTGATCATTAAAAACAAGATAGTATCATCCCAAAGAACATTTTGAAACAAAATAAAATTCCCATAATTTCATTACTCTAATGTGATTTAAATATTTGCAGATTCCCTCTCAGTCTCTGACCTTGTGCATTCCTTTGTTATATAGTTGCAAGCCTGGTGAATATATTCTATAGTCTTGTTTTTAAAAAACTTAGAAGTTTGTCATAATGTTTCTTTGTAGGGTTATATCCATTTTAGACAAGCATAGTATTAAAAATCACTGACTTTAGTTCTTGGTCCAAAGGCTTGACTAGTTTACTAGGGACTTTTGAAATAGTGGTTTCTATGTGATATGGGAATATTTTTCTGAAATTTGCCCCGTATTTTAAGTAAATTGTAGTTGTTCCCTTCTCAGTTGGCAACATTCTTCCAGTTCTGCATTTTTTGCCATAATTATGTAACTTGCTACACATTTATGCATGTAGATGTTTATAAATTTACTCCAGAAAATGAATGAAAAATGATTCAATCTAATAGTTTTGAAACTTTCTTATTAATTCACCATTTAGCATTCTTATTTTCAAAATGTCTAGGAAACCCTGTTAATTGGCAGGGTTTAAATATTTAAAGAATGAAGATAGTGTGCATCTGTAGTGATCTGATTTTTTTTCTCCCTAACCTTTTAAGAATTTTGAGGCCATGGGTCTGGGCTGGTGTTGTTATTGATATAATACATTTACATTTATATTTGTGTCTGGTTCTTATCTGGCAAAAGAATAATCTTTCTCGGATGTGACAGCAACTTTTTATTTCTGTCTTCCGAAGTGAGAAAGAAGCACAAGTATCTCTTTTTTCTTATCTGGCAAAAGAATAATCTTTCTCGGATGTGACAGCAACTTTTTATTTCTGTCTTCTGAAGTGAGAAAGAAGCACAAGTATCTCTTTTCTTTTCTTTCTTTTTTTTTTTTTAAAAAAGATGACCGGTAAGGGGATCTTAACCCTTGACTTGGTGTTGTCAGCACCACGCTCAGCCAGTGAGCAAACCGGCCATCCCTATATGGGATCCGAACCCGGGGCCTTGGTGTTATCAGCACCGCACTCTCCCGAGTGAGCCACTGGGCCGGCCCACAAGTATCTCTTTTCTGAATAAAAAGATAATAGCTGGAAATACTTGATAAACTAAAAAAGGACAGTACAAGATAAAAAGGCATTGAAAGGGCATTTTGATTTATAACTCTCATCTCTCCATATTTTATGAACCTACCAATTTCCATTTTCATTCCCATTATTCAGGAGAACCCTCAAAACAATAAAAAAGAACTGGAAAACTTGGACAATCCCTGTGACCAGAGGCAAGACTTGCCCAGTGAACAGAATAAAGGTGCTTCTTTGGATAGCTCTCAATGTTCGCCCTCCCCTGCCTCCCAGGAAGACCTTGAATCAGAGATTTCAGAGGATTCTGATCAGGAAGTGGACATTGAGGGCGATAAAGGCTATTTTAACGCTGGATGATAATCACTCGCGTTGGCGTGTTCAGAAGACTGGACTTGAATAACACTTGCTACAGAAAATCTTCATAGAATAACTGGAAAGCTATGTGAGAAAGGGAATCAATTTTCTGGTATTCTGGAAACCTAAAATATCTGGTGCACTGGCTAACAAAATCACGCTGAAACCTTAACTTTGACTTAACGAATGGTTTATGTACTAATTTTAGGTTATTTTGATAAAGTGACTTCAGTGATTAAAGTCACCCCCTTTGAAAAAAAGGGAATTGTTATTCTATTTATGAAAAGTAATTTTGAACTTTTTTGTTAAATTTTAAAGGTGTAACTATACAGGTTTTAATAGGGTCATCTTGAATGACTTTCTGTAATCTGTATCTACATCCTCTTAATGGAAAGGCAAAGGGGCACCCCAATTCCAGAGGTGTGCCTTGGAAAAAGGGACCCACATTTCAGGCAGTCTTGGTTTGGTTTAAAAGGAAACATTCTTTACTTTTCTATGGCATTCTTATACGGCTGCCTTAAATGCAAAACCATTTCAGAGCTTTTGCCTCGGGGATGTGTTTTCTTTTTGTAGTTGATAAGAATCTTAAATACTTGTTTTGCACTATCTCTTAGTACCTGTTTGACCAAGGTGTTAAGGGCATAGTACAGTCCAATTCAAGCAGAGAAACTGACTTGTCCGTGATTAAAATTAATCACAGATGACTAGAAGTCGCAGGTTAAATGTAAGTAGAATGTAGATATGTTTTATATCAAACAATGTTTATAACGCGTGTATATAAATTGTTCACTGTAAAAAACATGGTAAAAAATGGTTTTTTAAAAATGAGGAACTTGTCTATAAAATAAATCCGTCCTTGGGACTACCGACCGCGTCGAACGTCTCATTGCTTGATTGAAAACACCAAACAAACCTATTCTTAAAGCGCCCCCTGGGTGCGTGGAGCGGGGCTGGGCGCTGGGTCTTGCGGGCTCTTGCCTGTAGCGTCCCGGGAGCGCCGTTCTGGGCCGCGCCGGCGGGTGGGCGCCTGGAACGTGGGTTCGGGTCTTTCTCGGGGTGTTTGCCAGTGCGCTGGGTGCATGTGGGTCTGGGGGGCGGCTCCTGTCGGCGGACCCCGAGCGGGCAGGCTCGAGCCCAGGGCGCCCCGGGCGGCGGGGAGAGCCTCGGCCGAGGCCGCTGCTGCGCCG